CCCTTGGACAAAAACTATGATGATAAACCATGAAACAGACAAATATATGTAACGGTTTGATTGATTCCGTGAATCTATAACTAAGCACCATGTAAATGTTATATAGTATGTTAATTAATTTGAAATTGTATTAAGATCTCTATCAAATATATCATATTAATTATAATCTTTCGGAGATAAAACCGCTACTATATACTAAAACTAGACTAGCCTTAATTTTGGTTCTATATTGATCGCATGAAAGCTTGAATATGTTAAAAATATTAAATAATATATTTTATTATGGGTTTCTACAATCAATCAATTTGATTATTAATATGAAATTCAAACTACTGTTATGTAAATTGAAAAAAAATGCAAGGTTAGACAAAATCTTATATAATGTTATGGTAGATAGAGTAGTACTAACATTTATGCTCATATCTTACATATAAATATTCCAAAAGGCCCCACAAGTTTTCTCCTTTGTGTTCCTTATAATAATAATAACAATAACAACAATAACAATAACAATAATAATAATAATAATAATAATAATAATAATAATAATAATAAATATCATCTCCCTTTTGACATATTTTATAACATGTAAGAATCACCAAAAGCCCATATATACTCGCAAGATTTTGGGTATAACTTACATTATATATATGAGAAGAACAAAAGAAAGTAGTGGTGAGCGGCATGAGTCTCTATGGTATGGAGATATGATTCTTATATACCCCAATCTTAACTTCGAATTTTGTTACACTAATTATACTTAGCACCCTTAAATTATTTCTTAATCCCAATTTTGTTCTTTCTAAGATTTTATTAAAAAATCACAATATGTTAATTTTGCAAGTAAACAACATTTTTCGTTGTTGTTGTAACTATACTATTCACCATATACCTCTATGAATTTATATGGCAAAAAAATAATTTTGGTTAGATTATGGTAAACCATTTTCACTTCATAAAATTTTCCAAAATATAGTTATATATTAGCAATTTGTATTTCAATGCCATGGATGGATGAACATGAACATAGCCTGTAAAATGATTTTGGTTCAAGTGTGTATATATATACATATATATAGCGACGTAACAAGTTAGGTAATAATATTTAATTAAAGTTATTCACATTAAGTTGTTGTAATGATTTGAAACAATGGGCAGAGAATTTAATCTAGTATTCGTTTCTTTATTTATTAGACCAAGCTTTAGGAGACATTCCATGTTATGGGAATCTAGGACATTATATGAAAGGGGTTAAAATATCTCATCTTCCACTGTATAATATGATCCAAATTTGGACCGCGAAACAAAATTAATAACCGGGTTGAAAATATTAACCAAAATAGTAATGATCTTACCTACTCTTTTGAAAAATATGTCACGTTGAAATTGATTTTTGCCTTTTTACTATATGTTGATTAACAGGGGACCAGGTCGAGTTATACATATAATGATAACAACAATTTTGTTTTCGGGAAAAACATTAATCTTGATTAAATATTACAAAAAGTGATTAATTATTAATTATGTAGTTTTATTTGTTCTATAGTATTTCATTTTAAATACATTGAAGAGAATCCGTAATTTCATCTTTCATTTCTTTTTGTTCAATAAAAATTCTAAAATTAAGGAAATAAAATGTACAGTCGTAAAAAAGGATATATTTCCTTTTGGTCTGGGTATTTTTGGGATCCTAAAGTCATTGTTTAACCATGAAAATAATATATTTAGATATCTTGTTCGTTTGAGTAATTATTTTACTTAAAACAACATAGTAATATGAATATTATATTCACTTTGACACTTTGATTCTTAATTGGATCCATATTGACATATTCAACACACGAATTAATTTTAGGAAGAAAATGCAATATTTTAATAGTTTTTTTTTTTGTATTATTAATGGGTACAACCACATATTTCCAATAAGGAATATAGGATCCATATATTCTCATAGATACAATAATACAATTATATAACATTGGAATATCTATGAAGAAATGATGGAACAACATTAGAATAGGTATTCAAGATATTGATGAAAATTACATTCGGAGTTGCTATGCAATATATAAAATTTTAGAAAATTAGCAATAATTATTGTATAATTGTTAATTTCTACTGTCTAATAATATTATCGAATTTAATATTTTCTATATATGATAATAGTTACTCACAACAAATTAATTATTATATTAAAATAAATATCCATTATTTTTATAATAAATTTATGGTATGAGGTATCACTGCACTCACATAGGAAAATGGGGACGTTGACGTATATATAACATCGAACAAAGACTTCAACAAGTGAAAACTATTTAACAAGTTCATGGTAAATTTACTTGGAGTTCGAACCCCAGGTTGGGGAGCGAGCGCATAATTGGTTTTCAGCTCCAGTATTAGTCTAAACCTCGGCCCAGGAAATCCGGTTACCCAAAAAAAAAATTACTTGAAATATTCAAGAAAGCTAATTCATACTGTTATCATATCAGCCCCTCTATTTCTGGAAAATTCATGTCTGAGTCACAAACTCTTGATGGGTCTTAGTAGCCCCCTATGATGCGCTATATATAATATATATACATAAAGACTTGTGTACACATTGTTAGATGGTAGGTGATTCCAAACTGAGAAATCGGAAACGACAACAGATTTCGGGGTAAGACATTATAACCATCACGAAAACGATATCTACTTGATCACGGGTACATGTATATTGATATGATCGATAAGAGAATGATATGATAGAGGAATGGTGAAAATGAGAGTGTGAGCTGAAGTGGAGTTTAACGATTGAGGACAACAGTGAGAGTGAGACCAAGTACAAACCATCCCAAGAAGAAGTATCCCAAGAGCATTGTCGGTCCAACATCTTCCGGTTCCTGTCACCATAATACCGATTTCTCGACATTTAGAACGAAACCTAAACCGGAAAAATTGAAAGATTGCAGGGAGAAAGAGTGGTTCGTACCGGAGGAGGCGGCTCTTGGGTAGGGGCCTGTGTAATGTCGACCTGAAATGGCCAGACATACCGGTCTGGTATTTCGCTTCTCGCCAGGCTCCAATCGTACATTCTTCTCTCTTCAATGGATGATAAGATCGTGTATGATTCCTGTGTATTTACGTTGTTAATCCTTTCGCAGTTGCAGAATTACAGAAACAGAAAACCGGAGATGAGATTGAGAACCCGGGTACTGACTTTGAGAAGCTGAGATTCTTTGCTAAGCTGTTCTTGGTCTAGGCCCTGATCCATTAACTCCTTAACCTTGTCTTGGTAAGCAATCTTAACCTGATACATGGAGACAGGCATCAGATTCATCAGGAATTTGCTATGTAAATGGACACAATTCGAGATCTTTTCAACAGTCTTTGTAACAATGATTTTACAAATTCAATTTTCAATCACCAACTTGGTTATACTAGAATTGATGTTTTGAGGAAAAACAGTAAGCTTTGTTATAGTGTTCTTCTAAAGGAAAACCAGAAAGGAAGTATAGAACCAAGTCCTAAAATTATTTACAAGTATTTCCACAAAACGCCCTAACTATTTGATTGGCACAAATTAGACCCTAGGCTAAGAAGAACAGTGCCCTAAACCCCCAAATTTCCAAATTACGATTGAATCAGCGAACAAATTGAAGCGTTTACCTGTTCATAAGAGCAACCTCTCGGTAGCCCAAGCGTCCCATAGTGATCAGCATCTGTAATCGCTGCATTCTAATCCGAATTCTCATCAGTTTTTTCTTCTTTCCTCACCAGACAAATTAATCGGAGAAAGATTAGAGAGAAAGATTACGGAGGCCGCGAAGAGCTCTTTCGACGTTGAGAGCGGAGATCAAGGACGGAGGCTCCCTCGGAGTCTCTTCCACGGCCGTATCCGACCCGACGTTATCGGCTGGG